ACATGGCCAGGCTCATCCAGAAATGGGCATAGTACACAGGCACAGACAGACACACAGAGAGAGAGAGAGAGAGAGAGAGAGAGAGAGAGAGAGAGAGAGAGAGAGAGAGAGAGAGAGAGAGAGAGAGAGACTTTTGCAAGCTGGGAACTATACACAAATGTAGAGTGCGATCCACGGCCGATTTCTGACAACTATACAACGGAGTTTTCACGTGTATAGTGTGTAGTTAGTGGAGCGACGCCGAACTATACAATTTTGTATACTGTATAGTAGTGGAGCGAGACCCGAACTCTCCGCTTCAACCCTCGAAATTCTACGGATAGCTGTCAGTCAGAACGGGTGAAAGAAAAGCACTCTCCACGCTTGGAAATTGCCCAGCCTGCAAAATTCGTTCCACGGACAGACCTTTGAGGAGCTCACGGTAGGACCCCGAATTTGAAGGGTGCCCCTTGAGTCTGGGCGGACAGAAAGGTGATGACACCGTGTCTTCTTCTGCTGTCACGGTGTCCGCTAGTGCACTCAGGAATTGGAGAGTAGAAGCGTGGAGAGTAAGTGCAGCCGTGCAGCTTAAAAGGCGAATTTGGAGAGTAGGGCCGCTCTCCGTGCACTCTCCGATTTCGTGGAGAGTGGAGAGTAGTGCAGCGAGACCCAAGCTATCCACTCACCAAGACTCTTTTTTCGTGAGTGCGCAAACACACACTGTGACAGTGCTTGAGGACACCACGTGATCTGCATTTGTCCTCACAGACTCCAGGCACACTCTCGGAGCATCTTGGAAAGTGGTGCTGAGGTCCATCCGAAAAGCGGAGGTTGCAAGCTGCACACTCTCTGATCTCGGATAGTGCACTTGGGACTTCGCTGCACTACTGTCCACATGCACAACAGACAAAAAATACGGCGGTGCATCTTTCCATGTTCTAGCAAAAGATTCATTCTCATTTTTCACATTTGGGGCCTCGCCGCACGGTGCAAGAAACGAAAAAAAAATGACTTCGTTTCGTGAAGTCTTCGCCGCATAGCACCCACACGAACTGTGTCAGAAAAAACTCGTGAATGCTGTCAGCCTCCGAGGCCTCACGAATGTGCCGACTCCTCCCTGCCTGCAGTCCTCGCGAACTCGTAGGTCCTCCGCTGGTAGGTTGGAGCTGCGAAATTTCACGAGTGTGCTGCATCGCTCCAAACGAAGTCCATCCAAGAACCTTGGACCGTAGCATCGACAAATTTGGACTGTAGCGAAACGAATCCCCCACTACTGTCGCCAGGGCGTTGTCCCTAGAGTTTTCGTGTGTGCTGTGGGGCCGTGAGGCAAAAAACGAAACGAAACCGTGGATCAGGGCTTCGTGAGGCCTCGCTACTCTGGTGATTGTTTCGTTTCGTTAGTTGTCCCGTGGCGAGGCCCTTGGAGAGTAGTGCAGTGAGGCCCTTGGAAGGTCTTTTCAGGAGTGAGTTCGTTTTTCGGATAGTTAGTGCAGCCGTGAAAAACTCTCGGATTTGGGAGAGTGGAGATTTGTGCAGCGACACCCATTGAATGCTCCCCGTCTCTCACGGGGAGTCGAGGCACAAACAGCCACGGAATCTTCCTCATAAAACGGGGGGGGGAAATAACAAAGGCCAAAATGGATACCAAGCCCTCAACGCGATTGCCCACAGATTCATCCACTGCTGCCCAGAAGTGCTGCCAGACACATTCTGGAAAGTGGTAACATTACAGTGAAGCCAAAGGGCTGGCGGGCACTCATCAGAAACAAGTCTCAAGTCTTTAGTCCCTCGGGACATCTGTTAACATTGGAACGATACAGAGACAGAAGATTAATTAGCAAATGGCCCCTGCACACGGATGACACGCATAAATCGAGGAATGTTCCAAATTTTTTGTACGTGAAAACTATTCCCAAATCCCAAACACTAAAAGCGCACTGGTATAAACATTCCAAACACTAAAAGCCTACTGGTATGCACATAAATAAAAAGAAAAAATAACAAAGAAACGAGTCTTCAGAACCAAAAAAAGAAAGCAAAACAAAGCTCCTTTCCCGTTGCTTTTATTTTATTCTCTTTCTCTCCTCACTGCCTTCATTCTGTGTGCTTTTCCACATGCACAGCACACCAACAGGACATCTTGGAGTCCACTTGCGGATTTTGCCTGAGCCCACGGGCTTCCTCAGCCCTTGTGCTACAAGCCTGATGCCAAACCCCGTTTTGCTTCCGTGTTCACCTCTGCCTGTTTTTTTTAACAAGCCGGGAAAGGTACTACTGGTGGTTTAATGTCCAAAGACTCAAAACCACCGTCGCACCGTAGAGGTAGCTCAACTCTACGGTGCAAGTGGAACATGGCCCCCGAACTGTTGAAATACAGACCCAAGTTCGAACACACAAAGATAAGAAAGAAAAAAAAGAAACTCAAATCCCTCCGCCGTAGTTGCCCTGAATAAAATCATTCCGTCAGTTCAGTGATGATTTTTTTTTATTTTTTATTTTTTTTACACTTCACTTCGTTATATTTCAAAACCAAACGAGAATCGGAGCAGGGACCCCACAATTCCACCCGGAGTTATCCCGGCAGCATCAGCCAGTTTAGCTTAGTCAGACTACCCTTCTTGTTAACTGGACTCCTCTGTAACTCAACCACCTAGCTACTTATCAGATTATCTTTTCCTCTCATCCTCATCAAACCAAATCTCTTTCAATTCTCTTGGTTACTGGGTTCCTTTGTTGACCTACACAATCCCATCTACCCTATTCACTACTTCTATCACTTAACTACCGACTAACCACCAACCCATCTATTAACTACCCACCCCTTAAACAGGCCTATATTTCAAGCTGGTAGCCCTTAGGGAAAAAAAAAAAAAAAAAAAAAAAAAAAGAGCACTTTTGGTTTTCCAGCCACGAACTTTTCCCGTTTGGCCAGAAGGACCCACGGCCAATCCAGACCGTGGAATGTAAAAATTTGGCGGCCGAGATTGGGTCCGACCGCTGGGCCTCCTGGTACCAGATTGTGAGCCTGGGGCTGTAATTGCGCCAGATTCATTTTCCTATAGGCCTTTCTTGCCAAATGGGAAAGGTTTGGGCGCAAACACACAAAAAGGTTTTCCGCGTGGGCCCATTTTCGCCAATTATCCCGTCCGTGTTGTAGTTGCCTACTCCAAACTCTTGACGAGGGGGGTGGGAAGGAAAGAAAAAGAAGACGCAAAAACTAGTGCAATGGACGAGCACAACACTGACTGAAAAATTGTGAGAATGAAGAACTGGAGGCTCGGACGTCCAGAGCATGAATCTGTACAGTGGTAGAAACTGAGGATTACTGCAAGAAACCGAGGGGAGAAAAAAAAAAAAAAAAAAAAAACAGTTTGCTGCTTACTGCTGAAAACAACCCAAAACCCGAAAAAAAAGGAAAACAAAAAGAAGGATTACTGCTTAGACCCGATTGGTAGGCCGCCACAATGCCCAACGAGCATAATTCATGTCCATGAAGATAAGCTACAAAATTCCAAATGTGGTATAATTGTCCCAAGCGATGTTGCATGGATGCAAAGACAGGTCACGATTTTTCCTATTCTGGATATGCTCCCTCAGTGCAACCCCAGACTTGAGGATAGAGGCTCAAATGCGATCGTCCAAACTCACCATCGCAAACACGCACTCAAATCACCTTTTTTTTTCTTCTTTCGGGGAAAGGCTTGTAGGTGGCAGGATCACACTTAGCTCACACTTAGCTCACACTTAGGGCACGCTTAGCTCCAACTGAGATCACAATGAGCCCACACTTACATCACACAGAGATCGCATTTACATCACAGGTATATCACACCTAGACCACGAGTAGATCACACGTAGATCAGACGTAGATCACACGTAGACCTCTGGTAAAAAAAAAAAAAAAAAAAAAAAAAGACGATCACACGTAGATCACACTTAGATGAGACAGAGAACACACATAAATGTGTATAATTATATCATACTTAGATGTCCGTCGAGAGGGACAAATTGTCATTAGACCAAGAACAGAGGAGATAAGTCTTTTGCACTCCACCTACCTCAAATGACCAACTCGAAGGTTAGAGATGTTGTGCAACGAGTGAGTGACGGTCGCCCTTCCTCTGCGTGCAAGTGCAGAGCCACTAAGCTGGGAATCTCTCCTCACCCCCAAGAGACAGCCTGGCCCTATTGCCACGGACACCAGCTCGCGACCCTCTCTTGGCCAAGCTACGAAGCAATGGGTCTAAGAATGCCTCCCGCTGGGCCACTTTCACGTTCTCGGTTAATTACCCCAGTGCTGGACCATTTTTGCCCGCATCTTTACCGGTAATTGGTGGATGCTCGTCGATGATGGCAAATGGGCACACAATAGGGAAGCAGGACATCACTACACACTTGATCATTAGCTCCCTCCTATACTGCTTGAGACGCCCTTTAAACGCTCATCAACAACACGTAATCACACACACACACACACGCCTGCACGCACGCACGCACGCACGCACGCACAGAGAGAGAGAGAGAGAGAGAGAGAGAGAGA